GTCTTTTTATTTTTATTTTATTCCCACCTTTACCCCCATTTTTTTTTTCAATAAAAAAAAAAAAACCGATATTAGAAGGTTCGAGAAACAAGAGGAAAAAAAAAAAAATAATAATAATAATACAAATATTTGTAAACATTGTACTTTTACTCTCCGACCATTGAGAACAACAAATAAATTTATTAGATCATACAACTTAACAAATCACCTCGGGGCTAAAGTTAGCACCATGGATACGAAAGTTATGCTCTCCCAAAATGATATATAACTAGGTAACTCTTTTAGTCTTTTATTGTAGACGACCCACACTATAATGACAATCTATTCAAGCTCTACGTCCTATTATCAGATCCGAGCACATCTTCAAACAACTTAGTTGATGCGACATTCAAAGAATAAATGGTCTCGAAACGTAACCTTACTGTTACAAAGAACACAACCAAAAATATGAAAGTGTACATGGGGTAGTAGCTCCAAACTAAAGAAAGATATATCAAAGCACTACATGATACTTAGGACGTAAGGACTCCTAAACACTAGCAACCAAAAAAAGACCCACACGATATGTAAATCCAGGTCACATGATCTTAACTATCNGTCCTTTTTTTTTTAAAAAAAAAAAAAAAAAACCGATATTAGAAGGTTCGAGAAACAAGAGGAAAAAAAAAAAAATAATAATAATAATACAAATATTTGTAAACATTGTACTTTTACTCTCCGACCATTGAGAACAACAAATAAATTTATTAGATCATACAACTTAACAAATCACCTCGGGGCTAAAGTTAGCACCATGGATACGAAAGTTATGCTCTCCCAAAATGATATATAACTAGGTAACTCTTTTAGTCTTTTATTGTAGACGACCCACACTATAATGACAATCTATTCAAGCTCTACGTCCTATTATCAGATCCGAGCACATCTTCAAACAACTTAGTTGATGCGACATTCAAAGAATAAATGGTCTCGAAACGTAACCTTACTGTTACAAAGAACACAACCAAAAATATGAAAGTGTACATGGGGTAGTAGCTCCAAACTAAAGAAAGATATATCAAAGCACTACATGATACTTAGGACGTAAGGACTCCTAAACACTAGCAACCAAAAAAAGACCCACACGATATGTAAATCCAGGTCACATGATCTTAACTATCAACACCATCGGGTGAACCTACCTCGAGAGATTTGTCGACTCTCTTGAGCCAGAACACCAGGTCCAAGACTTATCTACGTAACATAACAATAACGACTATTTTTAATAGAAAAATTGAACTAAACATCGTAACCTATTTCATAAACAAATAAGACCGGAACAATATCTATTGCAATTATGTCAGTTTACAAGTTGAAAGAGATTTTAACGTCGTGACCTGAATCTTCACCACAATTTCTTTACCAAAATAATAATTAAAAGTTTAAAGTTAAATTATATATTTTAAATTTCCAAATTTACAGTTTTGACTTTGTTAATAAAAGGTTAACCTAATGATTACACGCATTTGTTATTAAAACTATTTGTTAAACATTGATATGACATTAGTGGAACAAAAAAGTGATGATTTATGACATATATTTTCAGTTAATTAATTACATCAATTTTAACTTACTTGTTTATAGTTGGATTTTAGTGTAATAGTCCAAGTTTGTTGCCCGATATTGTCCACTTTGGCCTGTTATGTATCATTGTCATATCCGTTAAGGAGGAGTTTCCACACTATTATAAGAAATATTTCGATCTCCTCTCCCATTGATATTTATCATGGGGTGAATTTGAAAAAAATAATTTCATCTTTCAAAACATTATAACGAACATATATTTTTATTCATGTAAATAATTCTCAAATCTATTATGAAATCATTTTTTAAGGATCTCACAGTGGTTGGAGAGCAAAACGAAACATTTCTTAAACGATTTTTGTATTCCGTGAAGTTGATGATGATACATAATGCGTCGAAGCAGACAATATTTATCCGCTAGGGGTGACCTTGGACTATGATCGAACTCTCCAACCCTTGACGGAATATTACTCACTCTCGACTATATCACATCAGAATTGGTAGACTTCCCACGTGAAGAAATTATTAAAAAGGAAAATCAAATGCAATCATCATCATGATGGTGGCATTGGATTCTCTCCAAATTGTCAACCATTCGTTTTAAAAATAGGGCATAATTATGAAAGAATGTTCCTTAACCCAAACGCTATTTTATGTGTCCTCCAAATAATCTCTCTTATGTTCTCAATATGAAAACAATTACAGTGTGTCGGCTTCTATTCTCATTTCTTCTGCTTGCAGCTTTGCAACCTTCCCTTCCTCCAATGGCTTCTGGAGCTGTCCCCGACACAGGTAAACTTCATCACTACTCACTTCATGTTGGATTATATTCATATATGAACCAATGTTGCTTCATTTTACGTAGAGCTAAGCTCAGTTCATGATTGGAGCTGGAATTCATTTCATATCCATGTTCCTCTAGTTTCAAAGGTATTATCTATATTTCTTTTATCCATTTTGTTTTCGTTTTCTTACAACAAGCTTAATTGTAACACTTCAAGCCCATCGCTAGCAGATATTGTTCTGTTTAAGCTTTTCTTTTCAAACTTCTTTTTAATGTTTTTAAAACGTGTTTGCTAGGAAGAGGTTTCCACAACCTTTGTTTCGTTCTCCTTCTCAACCAATGTGAGATCTCACAATCCACCCCCTTTTAGGGCCTAGTGTTCTCGCTGACACTCGTTTCATTCTTTAATCAATGTGGGACCTCCCAATCCACCCCTTTTGAGGCTCAACGTCCTTGCCTCGTGTCCACCCCCCTCGGCACATCAACCTGTGTTTGGCTCTAATACTATTTATAACGGCTCAAGCATCTCACAATCCATCCCCTTCGAGGCCTAACGTCCTCGCTGGCACTCATTCCCTTCTCCAATCGATGTGGGTCCCCCAATCCACCCCCTTTGGAGCCTAGTGTCCTTCCTGGCACACCCTCGTGTCCAACCTCCTTCGGGGCTCAACCTCCTCACTGACAAATCGTCCGGTGTCTGGCTCTGATACCATTTGTAACGGCTCAAGCCCACCACTAGTAGATATTGTCCTCTTTTTTAGCTTTCCCTTTTGAGCTTCTCCTTTTTGAGCTTTCCCTTTCGAGATTCTCCTCAACGTTTATAAAACGCGTCTACTAGGGAGAGGTTTCCACACCCTTATAAAGAATGCTCTGTTCTCCTTCCCAACTAACGGGAGATCTCACAATCCACCCCCTTTGAGGCCCAGCGTCTTTGCTGGCACACTGCCTCATGTCCACCCTCCTTCGAGGCTCAACCTCCTGGCACATCATCGGCTCTGATACCATTTGTAACAGCCCAACTCCATTGCTAACATATATTACCTGCTTTGGCCCATTACGTATCTCCATTAGCCTCACGTGGGGCTTTAAAACGCGTCTGCTAAGAAAAAAATTTCACACTCTCATAAAAAATGTTTCGTTCTCTTTCACAATCGACGTGGGATCTCACGTTAATTTTCATCATTCGTTCTAAAAGATAGCGTCCCTTAATAATAACATGCACATATTTCATGCCTGCAATCATTGAACTCCCAAAAAAGATTACACTGAAAAAGAAAGTTTTATTTCTCTTCCAAGGAATGATTTTAATAACATGCACAGAATACATACCTGAAAGTGTTTGATTTCTGTGATGACTGAAAGCAGGCAACAGAGAAGAGAGGTTATAAAAGGCCATCGGTGCCAAATCCAGAGGGGAATCATCGGCCTCCATCAAGGAAATGACCAAAGCAGGCGTTTTGGCTCTCCATCTGTTTCTGTGTTCAAAAGATAAAAAACTGTATTCCTCTACTGCTTTTCTATTATCAAACATTATTATCATATCATTATCACATACCTGTTTACAATTGGATGCTTAACAAAAGATGAGCAAAAATACAATCAAAATCAATCACTAATTCACATATATCCATAAAAAATATCCATAAAAAATATGTTATCCATAAAAAATATGTTCTTGATGAGATCTTACGTTGGTTGGAGAGGAGAACGAAACATTATTTATAAGTGTGTGAAAATCTCTTTTTAGTAGACGCATTTTAAAAACCTTGAGGGTGAAACCCGAAAGGAAAAACCTAAAGAGGACAATATCTGCTAGTGGTGCGCTTTGCTTACACTGAGCGATGTGCCAGCGATGAGGCTAAGCCACAAAGAGGTGGATACATGGCGGTGTGTCATAAGTGACGCTGACCCCGAAGTGGGTGGATTGGGAGGGGGGGTCCCACACTGATTGGAGACAGGAACGAGTGTCAGCGATGACGATGGGCACGAAGAAAGGTGGATTGTGAGATCCACATCGGTTGGAGAGGAGAATGAAACATTCTTGATAAAGGATGTGAAAACCTCTCCCTACTAGACGCTTCAAAATCGTGAGGCATATGTTGTTGGATGATGAAAGTCTCACATCCGCTAATCTAGGATATGATCATGAGTTTATAATAAAAAAATACTCTCCCCATTGGTGTGAGGCATTTTGGGGAGCTAAAAGCAAAGCCATCGGAGCTTATATTGAAAATGAACAATATCATACCGTTGTACTGTGGAGAGTCTGTTCATCTAACATACTCAACTGTTATAACATGAGTATCATATTTAAAAAATAAGTATGAATTTTTAGAAGTAATATTAAAAAAATTTGAAAATAATCTATGAACTGCGTGTGGATATTTTTAAAACAAAATACGAATAATTTTAATTCAAAAAAAAATATTTTTTATTTTATTTTAAGTTTAAGGGTATTTTAAGTGAAAATAAAAAGTTTTGGGGTATTTTTGTTAATTTAGTTTTATTTTTATTCCCCTCCCCGTCTTCCGTCTCGCCCAGCTCTCTTACACTCCATCTTCTCCTCCTCCACTGCCTGATCGCCATTACACCCATCTTCAAAGGTAATTAACCATTTCTTCATTTTTCTCGACCTCCCATATCCATTGCCCTCTCATTTACTTTAATAATTCTTCTTCTGCCCCTGAACTTTAGATTTTTTCCTTTTGCTTTTTGCTCATTTTCGTATTCTAAATCTCTCATACAAATCATTCACTTGATCCATGTGAGAAGCTAAAATTAATGTTCATACTTTTCCAGCTATTGATCCTGATCCAAATCTCAGACAAGCCGATATAATGTAGTTCTTCTCTAAATTTTGTATGCCTTTTGTGTTTTATCTTTTAGGAATCGGGTTTGGTTTGTTCAGTTCATTCGCTTATGTTCTTATTTTCACTAAATTTTCATCTGGGTTCTTCTTTTTAGCTCAAATGATTAGTGGGTTTTTCTGGGGGGTTAAGAACGCCAACAATTTCTTGAAGATGAACATGTTTTTAGATCTTTATCTTGAAAACCATGAATTTGGATGAACATGTTTTTAGATCCTTATCTTGAAAAACATGAATTTGGATGGCATTTTCCCAAGAAACTAACAAGAATTCAACAACATTTCAAGCGAAAATCGAATCACTGTCCTTGTTCCTGCAGATTATGGTTGCCATCTGATTTTTGTTGTGGGAAATTGAAAATAGTTACTGAAAAATTTAAGATCTATTGGATTAGCAAGAATTTGTGATGCATACCGAATCCACCTCTTCTTTTGTGTGTGTGTTTGTGTTTAAGATTTCTCTCATTTTGGCATTCTATGTGCATTTGTTACAGCTCAAGACATCCTGAATTAATTGTCTGTAAGTCTTGAATTGCATCGAAGTAAACGCCATGGAATCTTCGCTGCTTTTTAACCAGCTCCAGGTTTGAACCATTTCGTTTTCGTGACAATTTGTTTTATAGATCAGCCATTAATCTCTGTATGCGTTTTACATGATGATTGTATTAATTTGGCAGGCTGCTGAACCCTTTTTCCTATTGGCTGGTCCAAATGTGATCGAATCGGAGGAGCATATATTTAGGATGGCTAAGCACATCAAGAATATATCGTCGAAGTATGTATCGAGATTCTTCGAGTCTTAGGTTCTTTATTCTAAATTGCTGAATAAGATTGTGCACAAAATTGTACTTATTCCATCATATAGCATTAAATGATGAAGGTAAGTTTATGGAGCCAATAATTTCATGGCATCCTTGATTTGTAGGTGACCAAGGATACACATTGCACTCTTAACTTGGCTTTCTTTTTAACTTTGTCTTTAGTAAATACTTTATATGTTATCTGGCAGGTTTGGTTTGCCACTGGTTTTCAAGTCGAGCTTTGATAAAGCTAACCGAACATCTGCAAAATCCTTTCGTGGTCCAGGCATGGTCGAAGGCCTGAAGGTTTCTAATGATTTATTTGTTTGATGTTTGAATCATGGTGGTGCATGTTCCTCCACATGCGTATGTTCATTTGTGAATTGCACGGCTATGTGTAGACATAGTTACACCTTTCAAGAACCCAATATGTTGTCGGATGATCATTGTTGTGTAACTGTTGTTTTTTAACTGCTCTGAGATTTTAATTCAAGTATAACCTCCTCTAGAAAGGAAGCTTAGAACACTTATGGCATAGCTACCAGATAATAGTAAGTAGGAATTTTAATTCAAATTGTTACAGCCCAAGCCCACCGCTAGCAGATATTGTCTTCTTTGAGCTTTCCCTTCTAGGCTTCCCCTCAAGATTTTAAAACGCGTCTACTAGGGAGAGGTTTCCACACCCTTATAAAGAATGCTTTGTTCCCCTCTCCAACCGATGTGGGATCTCACAATCCACCCCCTTTCGGGGCCTAGTGTCCCGCTGACGCTCGTTTCTCTCTCCAATCGATGTGGGATCCCACAATCCACCCCCCTTCGGAGCTCAGCGTCCTTGCTAGCACATCGCCCGGTGTCTGGATCTGATACCATTTGTAACAACCCAAGCCCGCCGCTAGCAGATATTGTCCTCTTTGGGCTTTCCCTCAAGGTTTTAAAACACGTTTGCTAGTGAGAGGTTTCCACACTCTTATAAAGAATGCTTCGTTCCCCTCACCAACCGATGTGGGATCTCATACATAACTTTGTCATTTCCCATTGAAAGATTGCATGTGGCTGTTTATTTTAAGTGGTCACTTTTGTGCATTGGACCAATATGACATGACATTGCACCAAAGGAGGCTTGACTCTTCTTTTGCAGCAAGCATTCACTTGTGAGATCCTACATTGGTTGGAGAGGGGAACAAAACATTCCTTATAAGGGTGTGGAAACCTCTCCCTAGCAGACGCGTTTTAAAACCGTGAGGTTGACTGCGATATGTAACGGGCCAAGACGGAAAATATCTGCTAGCGGTGGAATTGCGCTGTTACAAATGGTATCAGAGCCTGACATCGAGTGGTGTGCCAACGAGGACGCTGGTCCTCAAGGGGGTGGATTGTGAGATCCCACATCGGTTGGAAAGGGAAACGAAATATTCCTTATAAGGGTGTGAAAACCTCTCCTTAACAGACGCGTTTTAAAACCTTAAGGCTGACGATGATACGTAACGGGCCAAGACGGACAATATCTGCTAGCGGTGAACTTGGGCTGTTACAAGACTGTTCTTTTGGCTAGCCTCGCTTTTTTTTGTGGGCTCCTTTTTATGTATGCCCTGTATTCCTTTATTTTTTTCCATGAAAGCTTGGTCATTGATTTATTTATTTATTTTTTTGAAGGGGAGCACGATAGTAATTCATATATCTTTTGTGTATTCCTTGAGTTCATTGCATTGCCTTTTCTTTTGATTCCGTGCTACTTATCAAGCAATTTTGCATACTTACTAAATCTTTTGTTTTCTCCATCGTTGCAGATACTTGAAAAGGTTAAATTAGCATATGATATACCCATAGTGACTGATGTGCATGAAACCATACAGGTATTTTATTTCGTTTACTTCACAGACACATAAACACTATGTTTGTATGGTCATTTGTTAAAAGTCTAAACAATGTCTTGTTAGATCCAACCATGTTTGGAACATTCTAAGATCTGAATTCTTACTCGTAATTTTCCAATCGATGTTCCTTCAAGTCACTGATGGAACTTCCATTACGCGTGTGAACTAAGAATTAGTGCGTGAATGTGGAACTTTAACGTATCATCTGTTACAGTGCGAAGCCGTTGGCAAGGTTGCAGATATTATTCAGATTCCCGCGTTTTTGTGTCGACAGGTAATTTAATATTTGTTGATGAGTTTGGCTTACTTGAAGTTAGAGTCTTAATTACTCATCTCATTTTCACCATAACAGACTGATCTTCTAGTTGCAGCAGCCAAGACAGGGAGAATTATAAATATTAAGAAAGGCCAGTTTTGTGCTCCTTCTGTGAGTGAATTCTGATAACTCGAAAAATGAGATGTTTTCTTAGTTCTTTCATTTTTTTTAAATGTTTTCGAGCCATTCGATACGATGTAGTATTGTTTTTCATTTTCCGAATATCCATTTCTTCAGGTTATGAAAAATTCAGCTGAAAAGATCAGAATGGCTGGGAATTCAAATGTGATGGTTTGTGAGAGAGGAACTATGTTTGGATATAGTAAGTTACTGTTTATCATTCTTTTTTGTTTGGTTGAAGAGAAGCTTGCATTTGTTTCAAATTATTGTCTGTATACTTTTTGGTATTTAAATGCGGTCATGGCTTTCTAGTAAAAGTGTGAGATGCGTGTGGAAACCTCTCCCTAATAGATGCGTTTTAAAACCGTGAGATTGACAGCGATATATAACGGGCCAAAGTGGACAATATCTGCTAGTGGTGGGTTTAGGGTGTTACAAATGGTATAAGAGTCAGACACCGGGTAGTATGCTAGTGAGGACGTTGGGCCCTCAAGGGAGGTGGATTGTGAGATCCTACATCGGTTGGAGAGGGGAACGAGCATTCCTTACGAGGGTGGGGAAACCTCTCCCTAATAGACGCGTTTTAAAACCATGAGGTTGACGGTGATACGTAACGGGCTAAAGCGAACAATATCTACTAGCGGTGGATTTGAGCTATTACAAGTGGTATCAGAGCCAGACACTGGACAGTATACCAGTGGGGACGCTGAGCCTTCAAGGGGGGTGGATTGTGAGATCTCACATCAGTTGGAGAGGGGAACAAGCATTCCTTATAAGGGTGGGGAAACCTCTCCCTAATAGACGCATTTTAAAACCATGAGGTTGACGGTGATACGTAACGGGCCAAAGCGGACAATATATGCTAGTGGTGGGTTTGAGCTATTACAAATGGTATCAGAGCCAGATACTGGACAGTGTGCCAGCGAGGATGCTGGGCCTCCAAGGGGGATGGATTGTGAGATCCCACATCAGTTGGAGAGGGGAACGAGCATTCCTTATAAGGGTGTGGAAACCTCTCCCTAATAGACGCGTTTAAAACCGTGAGGTTAACGGCGATATGTAACGGGCCAAAACGGACAATATCTACTAGTAGTGGGCTTGGGCGGTTACAAAAAGAAAAGATTTTTTTCAATCAACCAACACTTACTTATTTCTCGTCTCGTTTAGTTCATCCTATAATAAGTATGATTTGGTTTATAGATGACTTAATCGTTGATCCTCGGAACCTGGAATGGATGAGAGAGGCAAACTGCCCTGTTGTAAGTTGTTTGATACTGCAACTTTTGCTTCTCTATGTTGAGTTTTTCTATTCAGGAAAAGAATAGCTCTTTACATATTCAAAACTTTGTTCTTCAAGAGCATATTTCAATTTATTTTGCATAAAATTTGGGGTGCTGGGAGAAGGGGATTTGTTCGTATATAATCCATTTTGGACGTGCATCGGTCTTGTCGGGGCTAAAGTAATCTGCTAAATGCTTTCACTTCAGGTTGCTGACATTACCCATTCATTGCAACAACCTGCTGGGAGACAGGTATGTCTAATATTGTTTTCATGTTTTATGTATTCAACAGTTGCATAGAACAAGACGAGACGTGTAACACATCGACTTGTCTTCTATGTTGTTTGATAGCACGTAGCTCAAACCATGTGCTTGAATCCAGCTTTTAAGCTCGACCCTTAAGCCATGTCGTCCACTTTTCTACTAATGTCTTAATAATCGATCCAAGCTATTAGTTTTTATTTGTAGAATATGACTGGAATTCAAGCATAAATTTCAAAAGGAGAACTAAAAACGAAATCATTATCAAACGGGGACTTAATAATTCAATACTCAATCATTTTCCTCGTTAGCTCGTTCGATGGTATTTTAGTTCTAAATTTTGTTTCTCGATTTCTCCTGATAACATTTTTGCGTGGATATTTGAATTTAGAAGGTTAAATCTAAGTGTTTTATCTCTTTGAAGTTGGGTGATGGAGGTGTTGCTAGTGGTGGCCTACGTGAATTAATACCGTGCATTGCGAGGACAGCAGTGGCTGTTGGAGTAGATGGGATATTCATGGAGGTATTCAATTTTTTCTGATCCTTGTCTTTCGTGTTTATTCTATTCTGGTGTTTGTACATCTTTTGCTTGTTCATGTGATTAGTAAATGTAAGAATACGTGTTTGAATCCGTAGTAGATTAAACTTTGGGTGACCCGCATCGGTTGGAGAGGGGAATGAAGCATTCCTTACAAGAGTGTGAAAACGTCTTCCTAGCAGATGCGTTTTAAAACCTTGAGGGGAAGCCCAAAAGGGAAAGCCCAAAGAAGACAATATTTGTTGGCGGTGGGCTTGGGCTGTTACAAATGGTATTAGAGCCAGTCACCGAGCGGTGTGCCAGCGAGGACGCTGGGTCTCCAAGGGGGTGGATTGTGAGATCCCACATCGGTTGAAGAGGGGAACGAAGTGTTCCTTATATGGGTGTGGAAACCTCTCCCTAGCATACGCGTTTTAAAACCTTGAGATGAAGCCAAAAAGGAAAAGCCCAAAGAGGACAATATCTGCTAGCGGTGGGCTTGGTTTGTTACAAATGATATCATAGCCAGTCATCGAGCGGTGTGCCAGCGAGTACGCTGGGTCTCCAAGGAGGTGGACTATGAGATCCCACATCGGTTGGAAAGGGGAACAAAGCATTTCTTATAAGGGTGTGGAAACCTCTCCCTAGTAGAGTCACCGGGCTGTTACAAATGGTATCAAAGCCAGTCACTGGGTGGTGTGCCAGCGAGGACGCTGGGTCCCCAAAAGGGGTAGATTGTGAGATCCCACATCGGTTGAAGAGGAGAACGAAACATTCCTTATGAGGGTGTGGAAACCTCTCCCTAGCAGACACATTTTAAAACCTTGAGGAGAAGGCCAAAGTATCTGCTAGCGGTGAGCTTGGGTTGTTACACAAATAAAACGATCATAAAAAGTCGAGAGTTATGGTAAATTTGATTATATCAATGAATTTAATATTAATTAGGGAGCAAATGACATTTACGAGGGTTCAAACGTAGGACCTCCTTTGATACCGTGTTAGATCACCAATGAACCGAAACGTTTAAACTTTTATGAGTTACCGTAAATTTAAATATATCAATACTTGGTGATATTTATATGGGTAATTCAACTGTCTCAAGAGTTTCCTTATGGTTTGAAGGTGCATGATGACCCTATGAACGCTCCAGTTGATGGTCCAACGCAGTGGGTGAGTTCTGCTTAAATGGGTTTGAGTTTCATTTATAAAATGAGACCTTTTACGAGATTATTTGCTGAACCTTTCAATGAATACTCCCTTTTCTGATTAGCCTTTGCGTCATTTGGAGGAATTGCTGGAAGAGCTTGTGGCAATTGCAGTAAGTTCACTTACATTTCTTTCATATTTTTGCTGAGCCATTTCGGTGACTGGTGAGACATGACCCTTTAGATTGAACTGAAGTTGACTGAACATGACGTGTCGTCGTCTTCTTTACACCATCTTAATCTGTGTATTTGTGAAATCCCACGTTGGTTGGAGAGGGGAACGAAACATTCCTTGTAAGAATGTGGAAACCTCTCCCTAGCAAAGACGCTTCAAAACCGTGAGGCTAATGATGATATGTAACGGATCAAAGCGGATAATATTTGCTAGCGGTGGACTTGAGCTGTTACAAATAGTATCCAAGCCAGACACCGGGCGGTGTAGCAACGAGGACGCTGGGCTTGGAGAGTTGTTACAATCGGTTGGAGAGGGGAACAAAACATTCCTTGTAAGGATGTGGAAACCTCTCCCTGATAGACTCGTTTTAAAATCATGAGGTTAATGACGATACATAATGTGCCAAAGCGGACAATATTTGCTAGTGGTGGGCTTGAGTTATTACAAATGGTATTAGAGACAAACATCGGGAAGTGTCCCAGCGAAGACGCTGGGCTCCTAAGGGGGTAGATTGTGACATCCTACATCGGTTGGAGAAGGAAACAAAACATTTCTTATAAAAGTGTGGAAACCTCTCCCTCGTAGACGCGTTTTAAAATCGTGAGGCTGACGACGATACGTAACGAGCCAAAACGGACAATATCTGCTAGCGGTGGGCTTCAGCTGTTCCATTATCATCAATGCTTGTTGCTACTGGTATCGTTTAGTCGACGTACTACTAGCCAAGGATCTATACCAATTTTCTCATACATGTTTATCGAAATTTACCAAGATTGTTTTTCTTTCCTCAGCGAGTGAGCAAGGGTAAGCAGCATTTTAATATCGACTTGACGCCATTTCGTGAGTAGAGACACGACGCACCATGAAAGTTCGAACTGAGGTACGAGAGCTATGATTTGAATACACCAATTCTTGCTCATTATTGACATTACCGCTACCAAGTTAGTTTGATTTTGTGTAGATACTTCTTATCTATCTTCACATGAACTGAACATGATGCTTTAGTTTTTGTCTTACACCAATCATGAACTATTTGTCTTTTGCTTCTAAATATCATGTTCCTTCGCTATTATTGTCCCTTGTAATCAAGAACATCATATTAAAAAAGGTACAAAAGATAGGCGGAAAACGTGTTCAGAAAAACATTCGATTAAATCAACACCTTGAAGAACAGTCTACCCCCTAATCGAGCTTGTATAGGTCAAAGATAAGTAACACGATCAAGGATATTTGAGATTCAATATGTCAATGATGAAATTAGTTGCTAGTTCAAAATTATCAACGTGGGTCGAACTATATAGTTGGTAGGTTCGTTAAAATACTGTTAATGAGAATAGTAATTCCAACGATAACGAACAGTGGTTCTTCTATGTAGGTACGACATTCCCCTTAACTTGACTTGTAATACTCAGTAAATAAGTAGCACATGAATGAACCAATACCATATCTGAATGAGAGCATTTAATTTACCTTTTTTTTTATTTATGGTTTAATTTTTATTTGGTTGATAAATAGTTTTTATTTTGTTATAAAATTGATATTTTACAACTTTACCCTCAAACTTTGTTTAAGTTACATTAAATTTTGATTAATTAATGAAAAATAATTATGATATAATTTTAAAAATTATTTTTAATAATGACATAAAATTAATAAAAGCTAATTTAATTACAATGAATTAAATTGTTTGAAATTAATTAATAGAAATAAAGTAGATATTTAGTGAAAAATAAAGTAGTTGTGGTCTTCCTTCCTCTGCCGTCTCTGTCAGTCATCAATTTCCGGAGCTTTTTCCATCGGAGGAGATGCAATTTCGAAGCTGGGAATGGCATCTTTCAGGTGGCTGAATATTGGGTTAGCCGTAGTTTTGGGGTTCCTCATAATGGGCATAATTGCAGAGCTTTACTATCTTCTATGCCGGAAGAAGAAAATAATCAATACTACACAGGTTGAAGACGGCGACGGCGACGGCGACCAAACTAAATTCACCAGAAACCCACCTGAGATCCGCCATGGATTGGACCTTGAGCTCGGCGACGAACAAGAAGAAGAAGAAGAAGAGGTGATGGGGATTTACGATCTGGCAGGGCAACCGAGATTTTTGTTCACAATCAAGGAAGAATCAAACGAAGATTTGGAATCAGAAGAATCAAGAACCAGAAGGTTGAGTGACATAATTACAGCAATTGAAACTCCATATTTCACTCCCATGGCGTCTCCGCCATTGAAGGCTTCTCCTCCTCTCAGCTGTTTAGATTCGTATAAACTGCATGGGTTCAATCCCCTGTTTGAATCTTCGCCTCCTCCAAAGTTCAAATTTCTTAGAGATGCAGAGGAGAAACTCTGCAGAAGGCTAATGGAAGAAGCCCAGAGAACCAAAAATAACAATCAATCCTTGTTCCCTTCTCCAATTGATGCGAAACCCCCCAATCCACCCCCTTCGGGCCAGCGTCTTTGGTGGCACACCGTCTAAGGCTCAGTCTTCTCACTGGCACAACACCCACTATTTGACTCTAGTAATGATGTGGGAACCCCAATCCACCCCTCTTGGGGCCAGCGTCCTTGATGACGCACCTTTTTACGTCAACCCACCTTCTGGGCTCAGTCTCCTCACTCACACATTGCTCGGTGTCTGGCTCTGATACCGTTTGTAACAGCCCAAGCCTACCACTAGTAGATATCATACTCTTTGGACTATCTCGTTCGGATTTCTATTCAAGGTTATTAAACGCGTCTGCTAGAGAGAAGTTTCTTTGCTTCTTGAATTTTGTTTATTTTATTTATTTATTATTATTATTATTTAATTAAAAGTAAATTATTTGCAAATATATAGTTCTAAGATTTGGGTGATGATTTAGTTTGTTGTTTCTTCAAGCATTGCTACCATTAACAAGGTGGGTTTTTTAATTACTATTTTTAATTAATTTTTTTTAATGTCATTTAAGTCATAGATTTGTTAATAACCTGACTAAGCTTTTATTAAAGTGTGAAATTTCAAGTTTTAATTGTGTGTTTTATTGACCTAATTAATTTTTATGTTTATTTATTAAAAAGTGATATTCTTGCTTTATAATTTATTTATATTATTTTTTATTTTAATAATTCTATACAACTTTTAATTAAATTATTTTATAATTTCATTTATAATATAATAATTTCATTTTGAGTCCTAATATTTTTATTTTTATTTTTATTTTTTAAAAATCTCTACTCAATAATGCATTTAGAGTTGAATAATATGAAGTAATTTCCAATAATAATGGCTTGGTTTGGTGTAATTTAATTCAAACAACCTAGCACACGTAAAAAAAATTATTTTTATTTTTTTTTAAATTAAAATTATTTTTTTAAAAAAACGTTTTATAAACGTGATTTTTTTTAATAAAGAAAGTGAGAAGTCTACGAAAATATTATTACCAAACAAGTATAATTGAAAATAAATTAAAAAAATTATTTTTTTTTTTAAAGAAATTGAATATGATTTTGTCATTTATTATTATTATTTTAAATAAACCATTTTAAATTAGTTGTGAAAATTTGAATTCATCGATTACCCAAACGACAAGAAATGTCATTGTTTATATCACGCGATTCGGCCACCGAAAGTTTGTTGCCCTCCAACCATTATTTAATATTTACCCTTTTGATACCCGAACAATTTGAACTACACAATAGATGTACGCTCACCTGAACAATTCGGATTAAACAATCGAGTTACAGGTTGACTTGAACAATTCAAAATATACAATCGATTTACTGGTTGACCTGAACAATTCAAAATATACAATCGATTTACTGGTTGACCTGAACAATTTAGATTAAACAATCGATTTATTGGTTGATTCGAACAATTTAGACTAGGTGTCAAACAATTTGGACTACACAATCGAAGAATTTGGACTATACAATCAATTTATAGGTTGAAATTTCATTCCTCAGGTCAACTTGATCAACCCAAGAATAGAGTTCACAATTCAACCGGACCTAACGAAAAAATAATTAAAAAAATCAATAATAGATGACCCAACTCAACGAGAAAATAAGAGAGTTTGGTTGGATAGTAAAACTCATTTGGATAGTTACGTCGTCAATTCAACAAATCCAAAATTTTGAATTGGTTCAAATGTTTTTCTCAATGTATGCTCTGATTTATTTTTTAACAAAAAAAAATTATAATTTAATCATTTAATAGTTCCTTCTATTCAAAAAAAATTATAATTTTGAATTGGATAGTTTGTTCTATTAGTGAATTGATAAATTGCACAAAATGTAACGTTAAAATAATTATATTTCTTCTAATACTGACGTAATTGATATACTAAAACCTTTACATTTTAGACTCTGCATTTCTTCGTGTTTTAGCTTTTGAACCTTGTTGTTTGGGTAGACCATTGATGGAAGATTCTCGGTATCAACTCTTTACCTACTTAAAAACAGCTCTTCTTCGAGACAAAGAAACAAAAACAACGGTAACTACTAGTGGTGGGTTTGAGTCGTTACAATATCAAATTTAGTCTTCAATGGTGGCTATGGCCGGCATAATTTGAGGTGGCTATAGCGTTTGCCATGGCATGATACTCTATCTATGCACGTTTGCCATGGCATGATACTCTATCTTCCAACAACCTTCTTACATTGATAACTTCTTTAATTTTGAAAGTCTCGTTACCTCCACTAACATATTTTGGTTAACGCATTTACTCATACAATTGTAATATTCGACTCGGGTAACATATAAAAAAAATTTATATGAATATATTGTAAAGTTGAGGGCAAAATGATTTTCCAAATGTTACGATGACGTGGACGAATCCAAAATAGAAGGTCCCATGAAGATTCGTTTTTATATTTTATCACCCCATTATTCATACCCACTTAGATGTGAAACGTTACGTTCATAATAATAATAAAAACCATATAATATAAATAAATGAAAAGACATAGCTTTAAGTGGGTGTTCATGGATTTAACACTGTCCCTGTCGGACCTCAACAAGTTGCATCCATTTGCACGTTGAACTTATAAAGAAAGATAGAGGCTTTGAATAACTCACTAACATCCAAAAACCACCGACTTAGTTTACGGTTTAGGGTTTAGTTCGGACGTTTTCTACAACATAGTTACGTTACTTACTTCTCGCTTTTAAGAGTATAAACTATCCTCACAAACCAACACAGATCTTTTCATAATGTTTTGTCCTCAAGTACATGGATTCTAGGAAAATTTCTAAGAGGTCAACCCATACAAAATTACTTCACAGCCACCGAAAAAGAAGAAACACCTCGTTGGTATAGATTGTATTTTTCAATTCTTATAAGCAGTTCTTAGCCATGACATGTTCTAGATCATTTTCATTGGGATGTGTTCTCAGTTTATTTAACTACTCCTCTACTCAGATGTCAAGGAATTACTAAATTTAGTCTGATTGTGAGTGGTTTTTAATTTGATGAGAAAGTTCATACAACTTGGGAGTGATTTCTCAACTCTCATAAGATTCAGATTCATGCTCTATTCACAAGAACAAAAGAGAATTGAGAAGTACAAGTGTTTAAGGTTCTTCAGTTCAAAGAATCTCTCCCCTCAAATTGTTGTTTCTGTTTCATTATATTTCGATCTTGAATCATCTCTAATCGACGTAGGTGGGTTTAAAGTATATTTCGATGATAAGGGTCGGAATTGATATATATGGGAAGTAGAAGAGAAAGGAAGAAGGGAGGAAAAGAAAGGAGCAGAGAAAGAGAGTTGTGGAGGGGCCTTTGATGGGTGGTGTTCGTACGTACCCACAACAGCAACCACTCCTCTTTTATGTCTTTCTCTCTTCCCTTTCTTTTCTCTTTGTCACCCATTTCCACACACATCTTTACAATCTCATCTCTCTCTCTTGGTTTGTGTGAAAGTTATATTGATCAGACCTTTCTTTTCTGCATTCATTCCATTACTTCAACAACAAGAGTTTGATACATATGTTATGAAATGGTATAAGTAAATTTGAGTCGGTTAATGATTTGACATGGTTTATGTAACAGCTAAGTCCATCACGAGTAGATATTGTCACTTTTTAGGTTTCTTTTTTGAGTTATCTCTCAAAGTTTTTAAAACGCGTATGCTAAGGAGAAGTTTACACACCCTTATAAAAAATGTTTGTTCTTCTCTCCCACTGATGTGGGCTCTCACAATTCACTCTTTTTGGGATCTAGCATCCTCGCTGACACTCGTTCATCTATTCAATCGATATGGGATCTCATAATACATTCTCTTTCGAGACCAACGTCCTCACTAACACTTATTCCTCTCTCCAATCCATGTAGAATCTCACAGTATAAGAGTTGGAGATCTCGCCTTTAAATTCATGTAATGTTATTGTTATAAAGAAGAACCTTGAATCTTGAGAATCTCATATCAAAATATGAAGAGGTTTCACATTCTTAATAAGATACATGACCGTCAATTGATTTTAAGTTAGAATCATATGTCTATTTAAGGCTATCCATTCAGTTCAGTTTTCTCTCTCTACTTTTGATTTTTAACCTAATTTAACAAATCTTTTATGTCCGGTCAATAGAAAGTGTTCCGCTCATTAAAGAAGGAAAGACTGAAGGTGAATGAGACTAAACTACTCTCCCTATTGGTCTTTTCTCTTTTTTTTCCTCTCCCCGAGAGAACTCGATAAAGCTGCTATGCTTCTTTCCCTCGGCTTTTCTCTCTCCAAGTTCTTATTTTCTTATTGTTACATCAGCGGTGATTCTCGTACATGGTGAATAATCAAATTCCAATGAAAATGAAATCTTTAGTATAAATCAATGCAATTTAGGAGGACTTGATTAATGAACGACTATCATTTCAAATCTTGAATTTTTGAATTGAGAGAGAAAGAATTCTCAATATTTCTTAGATTAATGGACCCGACCTATAAAGACCAAACAAGTATTCGATGAAATAGAAAAAGATTTGACCAAAGCATGATGAACTCAAAGAGACACCGTCTTAAAGAGATGAGACCTGATACTTATCCTAATTGGTTTTGGAACGAAATTTCATAGTCATCTAATATCGAATATATCCAACATAGATTTCGAATTATCCAAACAAATCCTAGAGAATCTCAGTAACTACTCCAAGTAGTTTGGATCTTTACACAAGATCTTCAACCAAAAAAACAAGAAACAAAACTTCTAGAAAAATGTTGTGTTCTTGGTTTTTTTAGTTTGGTTCTTGGCGTTTTCTTAAGATTGCTGTCTTCATTACATCCGTACTTGTACACATATTACGACAATATCATTGTTCGAACTCTGTCTTGTTTTTTTCTACACACATGCACACACACACATGTCTTGACGTTTTGACGAAAAATATGAAGCAATCAGTAAAAGAAAAATCCAGCATGTGGGTAGGAACACCATTACCTGTTAAAGCTTCATCACTCACACCACTTTCTTTTTTGTATCAAACAATTTGAAGACAAAGACACCAATAATAAGCGATGACGTTGAAAGGACGTGTAGGTGTCAAATCAGGTCAACAGTTTTCTCTTCAAAATCAGAGCTGCATTAAAAGGTGTGTCTTTGAGAATAATGTACCAAATTTTCTGCCAAAAATTCCCACTGTGGGTAGCTTTCTTCAATACTTATTATACTCACGTAAACCATAGGAAAATGTTACGTATCCGTCAGCCTCAAGGTTTCTAAATGCGTCTATTAGAAAGACGTTTTCACATCTTTAATAGAAATGTTTTGTTTCCCTCTCCAACTGTTGTGAGATCTCACAATCCATCCTTTTGGGGGGCTCAGCATCTTCGCTGGCACACCGTCTAGTATTTGGCTATAATATCATTTGTAATAGCTCAAGCTCACCACTAGTAAATATTGTCTGCTTTAGCCTGTTACGTATCGTTGTCAGTCTCACAGTTTTAAAACGTGTCTACTAGGGAGAGGTTTATACGCCCTTATAAAAAATGTTTCGTTCCTCTCTCTCACCAATGTAAGATCTTACAATCCACCCCCTTAGGGGTCCAATGTCCTCGCTGGCACACAACCTATTGTTTGGCTCTAATATCATTTGTAATAGTCCAAACTGACCACTAGTAGATATTGTCCACTTTAGCCCGTTACGTAACGCCGTCAATCTTACGATTTTAAAACGTGTCTACTAGGGAGAAGTTTCCACACCCTAATAAGAAATATTTCATTCTCCACTCAAACCGATATGGAATCTTCAATTGAGCTTAGATCTATGGAAAGTATGTATCACTTCAACATAGTGGGCTTGAATACTCAATCCATTTATACACAAACAAAAAAACATTCTTCCATGTAGATTCAACTCGATCGATTTCAGTACCTTAACAAACATATGCAGATCATAATCACACATATTCTCAAAAGAAATTGAAAGGAAAAAAAATAAAAAACAATATTTTGTTATGATTAACATCTATAAAGCCTAAGTAGCTCAATAAAAGATTTAACTGATCAAGTGATGTCTTTTTTCTTTTAATCATTTGTCAAATCACTTGACCATTTAAATCTTGGTAAGTTGATATATATCAATGAAACTTACAACAAAGCCGTGGGAGGCGCCACTTGAAGAAGAACTGATAGCAGCTGAAAGATCTGTGCACCCATTTCCATTGCTTATCACAATTATTGATACCCAAATTTGAGGATTTCACCAAATTCAGCACTTGGGTTATCTTCAATCTTCCCTAAAGGCAACTGGGTCGCTCTTGAATTTGGTGTTGGGATTGAATTTGTTGGGTACCATCCCGTTGGGGTTTCTAAGCCACCTGAGATAGGACAGTTCATGACACTGCGCCATTGATGATTCTGAAGAGCATCGTTTCCAATATCATTGAAATTCAACCCTAAATTCATTGTTCCATATTGAGGAAAATTGTTGAATGAAGCCATGAATGAAAGGGGAGGATTTTGAGGCTGTAAATCACCAATAACATTCAGCTGAGTTTCATTACGAGCTATCGGAGACTTCGAGCGTCGAGTTTTAATCTTCTTATTCCGACGACAACCGCCTCCAACCGGAACGTTCCGAAGCGCACCACCACGAGTCCAATATCGGCGACAAGCCTTACAGAAATGGCGCGGTTGAGAGAGACTATAGTTATTAAAGTAACAAAATTTGGTGTTGGTTGAATCACATCTAGGACACTTGAGCGCCATCTCCGGTAGAGGTACGTTAGCCAACCGAGCTCGGTCGGCCATGGAACCGCGTCGAATCGAGCTAACTCCACCGCCACCGACATGATTTGATGGCTGCAAAAAAACCCAATAAAGAAAAAGTTGAGATATTTGGGATATTCAAGAGGAAGAAGGAAAAGAACACAAAACCCTAACCTGAAGGCAATTGGGAGGAGGATCTAAAAAGAGTGGAAGAGAGGAGAAATCCATGGAAGGACTGATCTTTTATCCTTTTATAAAGCGGAATTCGATGCGTTCGGAGAATCGTAAGCAGAGACGAAGGTAAAAGAGAAAAGGAAGAAGAGAATTAAAGGTATGGAGAGGAAGCTTTTGATGAACTTTGCTCTCTTATTCTCTTCTTTATCTTTTTGTTTTATTGTATTTTTAGGGTTTTAGTGGAAGGAGCTTACTTAGCTTATAAGCTTTCACCTATGCACTTAATAATCTTAATAATCTTAATGCATTTAATAATCTTAATGCATAAAATCTTTTTATAACTTTAAACTCTTTTCATTTTAATTTATATATTTTCATCCGGGAAAAGCCATTTTTTTCTCAATAATGCCTTTGTCATTTGATCTAATAGCGTTCAGTTAAATAAGAACAAATTTGATAAATATTGTGTTAGAATCGATACCAGTTGTTAGCTCTGATACCCATTGTTAGGATCGCTCAACAACACACACTCGATCAAGATGAACACAAAGAACAGGAGAGAAAATACAAGAGGAATATTGACGAATATTGGCTAAAAGTTTTATTATTGATGACTTCCAGGTATATACAACAAGGGAGAATACAGAGAAACAAGAGAAGTACATCTTGAGAGCGCCGCTTGTGTATCTATATATATATATGGTTTCAATTTACTAAATATAGCTTCCAAACACTTAACCCATGTAATCTAACAAATATATCTCTGTCAAATCTTTATCAAATATCTACCCTATATATCTCTATCATATCTAGACATCAGGCTCTATATCCCAACATACTGATAACTCTCGGATGGAGTATTAGAATGGAAAAAACCATTAGATAATGAACTATTGGTTCTAAACCATTTCTGGTGATGAATCAACAATATGAAATGCTTCCATATTCTTGATAAACCAGCATTTATATATACATATAGGAAGATCTGTTTGGGAAGTAAGCAGTCCCTTTGACATCTCTTCGTCGGCATAGAATTCTCGATGCAAAAACACAGAGACAAAAGGCTGATCTTTGATTAGGAAAAAGAGTGGATTGCAGGATCCCAAATGAATTGGCTTATTCGAAAAAAGTCTTGCACAGTTCCACTCTGCAAGAACTCCCTAACACATGCGTTTTAAAACTGTAAGACTAGTGACGATACGTAACGGATCAAATCGAACTCTATCAACTAGCGGTAGACTTGAGTGGGTACACTGATTGCCTAGTTAAATAGTGAAGTATTACGCGCCAATATGTAGCAATTAGGGGTTTGGTGGTGGGGCTGAAGAGGTACGTAATGAAAGGCACATAATTGAGGGCTTTGCCTCAAAACTCTGATTAGTTTCAGAGAGCTTTCATGTGGGACTCACATGGAACCCATTCAATTCAATTCAACACCATCCTTATTATTAACCCAAATAATAAAACACTTTTTTCTTTTTTTTCATTTATTTATTATTTACATTGATAGGTTTTTTTTTTTTGAGATGATGTGATTTCATGCGTACGTCAAAGTTAAGACAGCTAAATTCGAACAAGTAGTGTTAAAATATTATCAGTATTTCAATAGAGTCGCTTAGAGTTTAGGCACTTTAGATATAAAAATTTCGATGTATTTTAGGGTATTTGGGACTAAAGATTTAAATATTTTAGGAATAAGTTATGTTTATAGTGTCTAGTGTCACGGTCCTACATTCTCTTGAGAGACGCCCCTTTGCTTGTCATAGCGTGAGGGTCACAACCTACTCTCTTCATAGTATGGTTGTGACATTCTCTCCCACTTAATTTAGTCATCGTCCTCGATGACTTATTCGAGTCACAATCATACTGCAGATTGTGACATCTAGCATCCACTGTAAATACCGCTCCAGCCCATTAAGTTTTTAAGCACAACAAATCTGTAAATCAAACTGCAATAGTATTTTACTGAGTATTTTGTAATCTTTTCTTAATTGATCTTAATATAAGTGTAAGTGTTTCACACCAAAGAGTTACGTTCAACGATCTTGTATCAGAGCGAGGTTGGTATAAGTTGTCTGATCTCTTAGAATTATTAATATGTTATATGGTTGTAGCTTTACTAAATATTCTACATCATAAACGAATTCTTAAGATTCTTCAAAAGTCAGTCAATAATCGTTATCTTCTTGGCTTATAACTGTTTCCACGTTAAATCTCAGTTTTAAGATTGATCTGAAACATGATTGGCGTTTTATTTACTTAAAATATTTGACCAAATTGCATTTTTTTTAAAGTCTAGATTTTGAACCAAATAAAGAAAAGGCCAAATGCATTCAAACATAATTATGGCATCTTTTTTTTTTATAACTTTTTCACTGTTAAGTTTATGGATCTTTGGCCTCTTTTCATCTTCAATGATACAATCATATTACTTTGGAATTCAACACTTTTTGACTGATTTTTTGTGTTTCTTATTTGTTTTATTATTCATTCTATCGTAACTTTTTTGAGATAGAGACTTCAAATCATCTCGTCATCGAGATATAAAGGTTAAATTATTTGTATATTGTTTGATTATTGGTCTTTTAAAGTAACAAAAAAACGGTGTCCGTTTCTTAATCATGATGCGTCCGTTCAAAAAAATGTTAATTAGGAAGAAACTATCTTTCAATAGTTATCAAATAGTTCTTATTGTAACGCCCCGTGGCTAGAAGTTAGAATATAGATTTGACATTTGATAGTTGGAACATTTTCTTGCATCCCCTGCGACATGGTGGACACTGTCCTCACAAACCAACATGAGTCATTCTAATATGCTTTGTAAGAAAATCTTTGAGAGGTCACTCGGTTGAAAAATGTCATCAAGATTTGGTTCATAAATATTTTGATTCATGAATATTTTTGGTACATTCTCCATTTCGATTCATGAATCTATTTGATTCATTTGGTTCATCTCCCATATTGATACATTCTCTCATACTGGTCCATGAATTATCTTAATTAATGTGATTTACGTATGAACATTAGTGTTGCTTTAGATCATGTATGAGAATTAATATTATTATATCCATACAAAGATTTATTTAATATTATTATGAAATGTAGAGTCATTATCATTTTGTGTTTGATTCGACCAATTGAAAAAAACCTGGTTAGAAGAAGAGGTTTGCAATAATGAAACATAGATCTTCCTTAACATCCTCAAACTTAAAACACAACCACAGTCATGAGATAATCATAATAACACAATGAGCTTGGTATTTAGTCACTCACTTTAAGGTATATTTCAGAGCTCACATGCAGTCACTTTAGATGATGCAAAGAATTCATGTTTAAACGAAAAATGAGAAGGGAGTGGTGTAATAGTCCAAGCCCACTGTTAGTAGATATTGTCTGTTTCGGCCCATTACGTATGTCCTTAGCTTCATGATTTTAAAACGTGTCTGTTTTGAAAAGGTCTTCACACCCTTATAAGGAATACTTTGTTTTTTTTCCACGGATGTGAGATTTTACAATCCACCTCCTCAGATCCAGCGTCCTCGATGACACACCAGTTGGTGTCTGGCTCTGATCTATTTGTAACCGTTTAAACTCCGTCAGCCTCATAATTTTAAAATGCATGCGTTTGCTAGGGAAAAGTTTCCACGCTCGTATGATAAATGTTTTGTTTCTCTCTCCGATCGATGTGAGATCTCATAAACGAAGAGACGTTTCTCGCTGTTAATCAAAAGAGTCTAAAAATAAAAATTATATTCTTGATTCTTATCACCGACTTAAATTTCAAAAATTAAATAGTTACGAACCGAATTTAAAAGTGGAGGAGACGCGGTAGCGTGGAGGGAAGGCAGGAGATGGGCCTCCTAAACCCATATGATGGGGGACAATCAACTCTCAATCATCTTTACTCAGATGCTCCATGTTGGATATTCTTATTGCCACGTCACTACTCTTGGGCCCCACTCTCCCTCTTTTCAATCAATCTCTCGTGGCTTCAACACAATTATTCTCCTTTCATTATCTGGCTGCCCACTCATGCATGTGTGTTTTCTTTCATTTGAATGCTCAATAATTCCATCTCTCGGTAACCGTCTAAGCTTATCGTAAATAGATATTGTCTGTTTTACTCTATTATACATTGTTTTCAGCTTTACGGTTTTAAAATCCGTCTGCAAAGGAGAGGTTTCGGGACCCAGCATTCTTGCTGGCACTTGTTCCTATCTTCAATCGATATGAGATCTCATAGTTTAAAGGAAGCGAGTAAGAGGGCTATGAGTATTCACGAACTTGAATGATCGATTAGGTAGTAATTAATCAAAATCTCTTGAATTTTGAAAATGTAAGTTGTGGAAAGTCATTCTAATAACATATGATATGATTACCAATCTATTTGAGATGACTTCTTCAATGCTTTAAAAGTGTACGTGATGGTGTGAAAATTGAAGACTGAAAATTTGATCAAATATCTTTTTTTGGCAAAAAAATTTAGGGTTAATTGGAAATGGAGAGACCAACTTGACTAACCCAAAAATACGAAAATTAAAAATATTTAACATTTGTGATGGATGTCAGTAATTAATTGTGACTTGTATGTATTATCGATAAGTATATTTTTTTAAAATAATTTTAAAAAAAACCCGATCACTCAAGTCAACCTATTCAATAGGTTGGGTTGAGATGGTTGTGAACACTATCCAGGTTGCTCGGTTCACCCATCTAACTAACTAGAATTTCGAGTTAGTCCAAAAATTTTCCTCAACCAAACCCAACTCGTTTAGACTTCCAATACTTATAAAATCAATCAAAATAAATCGTTAAATTGGATTAGGTTGAGTTGGGTTGTGAACACTGTTCAGGTTGCTCGGTTCACCAATTCAACTAACTCGAAATTTTGGGTTGATTTAAAAGATTTTCTAAACCAACTCTCTACTCGATCCCTAATACTTATAAAATCAATCCAAATAAACCGTTAAAAAGACGATAGGATGGAGGAATTGGAAGTGAATTATGGGAGAGAGACAAGGAAATGGAGTGGGAGAAATTTTGTGGATGAATGCACATGAGTGTGGCAGATGGGTAGCAGTAGGATGCTGAGAAGGGGCAAAACTGATAGCCATAACAAAGCTGCACAGCCCCCTTCGCTGTGTCTCAGCATCTTCCCTGCACCACTGCCACCCATCTTACCAACATTTTCTTCCTTCCCTTTTCTACTTTTTTTTTTACCCAACACAAACATAAAGA